TTTTTTTAACGACAATTTTTCATCAGTCATGAGATGAGTCCAGCCACAACCTCTCATCATATGGACCTCTCCAAAAAGTTGCTTATAACATGGTAGCTGGCGTCTCTCAATTCAAGCGATCTGAGAAGGAATAAAACAGAAGCCACTGTCTTTCATGACCTAGCCTGAAAAGTGATATACATGACTTCTGCCATATTCCATTCATCACACTGACCAACCCTAACAAAGTGTGTTTGATTTTCTCATAAGGATTGAATCCCATGAGGCAAGAATCACTAGGAACATGTAGGAAGCTAACTATGAGTTCCAAACTTTGGCCCCAAGTGATTTATGTCCTTAAGGCAAAGTGATAGTAGGGTTTGTACCTATATTCTTATTTTATACACTTTGATGAGAGTTGACAAACTATGACCTGTGAACCAAATTTGTCCCATCATCTATTTTTGTAAATAAACCTTTATTACAATACAGCTATTCCTATTTATTTGTCTATCATCTATGCCTTTTTTTGAACTACTATGGCAGAGTTGAGTAGTTTCAACAAAGACTGGCCTACAAAGTTGAAAATACTTACTATTCAGTTATTTAGAGAAAGCTTTCCAACCTGAACTATGATACAAAGAGAAAAATTTCAAAAGGTCCAAAATTTTGGAAATTAAAAAGGAGATTTAAATGCTCCAAAGATTTCTAGGTCTAGAAAACTGAAAAAAATTGTAAGGCTCCAATGGTCATATTTATATAAAGCTCTTAATAAATGAAGAAGCAGGAGAAAGAGCATTCAAATAAGCAGGTGGGGACAAAGAAACATCCAGTAACAAGCTCCCAATATTTTTCTATTTGCATAAAGACATGACTCATCTATGGATGAAACTGCTGATATTTGTGTGATAAAACCTGATTTCAAAAGAGCTTATGCAGAAGTTCTCTACAAATTTGGCCATTAAGCAGATACGGAATATCGAACTGTTACTCCTAGTGTAAGTTATCGATAAACAAATTGGCCCCAGATTTCACTCAGGAATTTTGCACCTTCAACAACAAAAGTAATTAGTTAGTTACTACTACTCTTTTCATGGCCAACAGCCAAAAATTGACTGCCAGGCATCTCTAGAGATAAACAAAGAGCTGTCCCAGTGCAGCTATAAAATAACTGTCATTAGTAGGTAAACTTAGAAGTCACTAAAGGAATAACTAAAAATTAATATGCAATGTTTGGATTTAAAACGGTAAGCTATGAATAATAAATTATGGAGTAGCAATTACAACAAATTTTTAGAGATATGCCGGTATAGTAGGCAGAGCTCTAGGATGACGCCTCAAATTACCATGCCCTGGTGTACACATGTATAGTCCCCTCCCCTTGAATTTGAGGGAGGTTTGCAAATATGATAGGATGTTATATTGTGACTAAACTACATTAAGTGGCAAAGATGAGGCTATTTTTCAGATATAATTAAGATTTCAAAAGATATTATTATGGGTGGTCCCACTTAATCAGATGACCACTTAAAAGAGACTCTAGAGGACAGAGAAAGATAAAGTCAGAGATGTTCTTCTTCTGTTCTTGAAGAAGCAAGCAGCCAGGGTGTGACTGCTTATGAGAGGAGCAGCTTCTGCGAGCTGAGGGTATCAGTCCTACTACCACAAGGAACTAAATTCTTCCAACAGCCTGAGTGAGTTTGAAAGAGTCTCTCTGAGTTTCAGAGAAGAATGCAGCCTGGCCAAGACCTCGGTTCCACTCCTGTGAGACCCTGAGCAAAGGAGACAATAAAGCCATGCTGTATTCCTGATCCATAGATACTACAAGATAATAAATATGGGTTTTAAGCTTCTAAATTTATTATAATTTGTCATGAACCAATACATAATGTACATTACATACATTCAAGATAATACATTCAGGGTAACAGAATAAAATTAAGGAAGTATAAACTGACTTTTGACAACATTATTTTGTTATATTGTGTTGTTTTGGAACATTTTCTTATCCTCTTCCTTTAGTTCTACATTCAACACTCATCTAGATCCTTCCATGTGCATTAGCTCATTTCATAGCAAAAAGCAAAAACAAAAGAAGAAAAATAATGTGCCTTTCCCCAGGGAATATTTCAGAAATCTCTTGTCAGAAGAAAAAAAAAGAAGATACTTGGTGAAAGACCTTCATGTAAAAGAAGTCTTTTATATCCCAACGATCACAAAGATATATTCAAGGTGAAGGAAAACAATGCAAGTAAGAGTGGAGAAAATAATAATGAAAATGAAATGTCAGTTGGTTCCAGACTGAGTGTAACTAGGATGATGGGACCCTGCTGTGGGAAAGACACTCTGCCATGGGTACCTAGCCTCTACCACTCAAAACAGAATTTTTCTCTCAAAAATTCCTTGAAATTATATGGAAGTTGAACGAGCCCCTTGAGCTGTAATTGGGAGGCAACAGGAATTTTCTTCTCTCAGTGGGAACAATTTTGACATAGATTACTCTCTGAAACTGGACATCAGCCACCATATTTAACTCCTTCTGTTTCCACACTGCTCTTGTAACCATAATGAAAGTACATAAGTTCTCAGAAAGGAGGCAGGTCGGGCTCTAGACATCTCATAGGTGGTGACGTGAAAAGTAATATTTTGAACCTATACTTGAGTGTGACTAAATGAAAACCATTGAGATTCATCTTGGGGAAAAAATTATGAAAATAGTTCATCCATGCTTTCTTACAGAGAAAACCATTCTAAGAAGCAAAAGAACAAACAAGCAAAACAAACATAAAACCTGGAGGAAATTGTCTCATGAGAGGAGGACAAGGAGATGAGATAGTTGGGACAGAAAACTGGTGATTTCCATCTATACTATTTTAAAATTTGATTAAATATATATTATTGTGCAATCACATGTAAAACAAAGTCAAAACATTTCAAATACACAGAAATTACAATTTATGTTCTCTTAGTCCAAAGTTATTTTTCATAATATAAAGTGCATTTTTCCTAAGTTAATTTTTGTATGAGAATGTGAGTTCAATGTGTATTCCTGATATATTTATATTTTGAGAAATAAGAAATAAAGTCTTTTCCTGGTTCTTTATATATTGAATGTCAATTTAGATTTTTAATTATTCTGATTTAAATGGAATATAAAACTAGAAAGCAAATAGGTGTCAATATGAAAATTTTAAGATGTATATGCAACAGTTAAAAGAATTGAATAAGATTTTGATATCAGTGAGGTCAGGAAAATCCCATCCAGGTCACAGAAATAGGACTTTATTGTGTTCCCAGTCCTTCTTTGATACAGTCAGAAACTCCTCAATAAAATGAATTGCTCCCACTACAAAAAAAGTGAATTGTTTATATTTTACACATAACTTTTAAGAAAAAGCTTTTGTGATAGAGTAGAAATTAAGATCTTCAATGCACTTGCAAGTGATTCTTTTACTGATGGATAAGTATAAGTCAAGAAACATCTGCAGAGTAAAAAAAGTCGATATTTCAAATTAATATGATCAGAACTTGGAGTCCCTTTACCCTTGCAAACTCTGAAAGCAATCACACAAGAACCACATACTTGGCCAAAGACTTACAATTGTTTCAAGGCATTCAATGAGTTCCCTGGGAAGCCAGGTGACACACATGAGGAAACTGTCCTATGGCACTTTCAGTTCTCAACTAAAACATATAGGTGTATAGATATCCAGAAAGAATTAACTTTCAGAAAAGTGAGGTAGAGATGAAACTTCCCAATTAGTATACCATACAGAGAATTGAAATGATGTTGATATATGTTTTATGATGTAAATTGTTTTATTTAAATTTCTCCAGAGAAAATTCACAAGAATGTACATATGAAAAAATATATTACATGCAATATTCAACATATGAAATAAATCAAAATATTCATGAAGTTCTTTATCATCATGGAAGAGCATAAATTTCATCAACCTTAAAACACATGGTTTCGAATATATAAAAATCATATATGACCAAACACTTTATAGGCCCTAGAAGTAGATAGTTAGTACTTATGTAAGAGGTAAACATACCATTCTTATTAACACTGGACCTCGTTGTCACCCCTTCTGCCCTAAGAAACACTAAATAAGCTGTTTACAGATGAAACGCATTTCTTTCCTGCAGGGTTCATTCAAAAATCTTTTATTTGGGCTATACACTATGCAGTTCTGTATATTTACAGTCTGAGGAAATGAAAATCTGTAATGAAAAATAAATAAAATGTTTTCATATGGTTAAAGGAAATGAGAATGTTTAGGGATGGTGTTTCTTATTAAAAATAGAACTTTAAAGCATTTGAAAGATATATTAACATACTGACTCATTATATTTTTTCATCATTTCACAGTACAATATTACAAAAACTCAATTATTGCCTCAATAACCAATAACATTGACACCAAATTTTTTCCATTCTTATTAATTAATGGTTTTAATACATGAAAACTTTACCTCTATTTTGTTTGAAGATGTATTGACTAATCTAGGCTAGGAAAACAAATCAGAGCAGCAAATTTATCATTGTATGATGCTGCAAATCCTATGTTTATGAATGGAAGTGAAATTCTAAGACCACAAATATACAGAAAATAAGACAGCATATTTGAAATATGAGAAGATGCTGAGAATATTGGGCTTCCTCAGAATAAAGACAATAATGCCTATCTTGTTTTTCCTGGACAGTTTCTCTGTGTGTGAGCATTTGTACATGCACAATTCATCTAAGTGCTTGTAACAAGACAAAAAAAAAAAAAATGGTCAAAAGCTCTTTTACGGTCACAAGTACACCAAACTCAGGTCATAAAAAAGCTTTGGAGCATACACATGGATGTTCTAGAAGGGGCTAAAATTGCCACTCTGTTGTATTTATTCTCTTTTCTGTATTCTCATGATACAGACAGATTATATTAGCTACAGTGCTGCTAGACATTACAGTTTTGCTCAGATCTAAGAATAAACTCCTAAAGGATAAAGAAGCCCAGACTGCCAGAAACTTACAGAGTTTGGGAGAGAGAAGCAGAGCCATCCTCCCACAACCAGGCACTGCGTTCTTTATTGTAAGAGAGTCCGATCCAGTAAAACAATTCCTTATACGGTTCATGAAATCCTGTTAGGAAACGAAGGTGAACACATTAACCTAATTTGAATCTACTCTGGGAATAGTGCGCTTTTAAGAAAGTCAGTGTCCAGCATAGATTCAGACTTTAAATCACTCAAACTAAAATCATTTATCATCTAGTTTAGGAGGAATAGTAACATACTTCACATTTTCTCACTTTCAGGACCATTTCTTTATGGAGAATAAAATGTTGCCAAATTTTCCTTATTGAGGAATGAAAAATATTATAAAGGGATTTTTTATGAAACATATTTTTTCCCCACAGGAGATCAACATAAAATTTGATCTCAAATCAACAGGATCGTGAGGAATAAATTTCTTGGGATATATAACCTACTCAACCTATACTCAAATAGTTTCTTCATGCAGCCAGAGAAATTTTTCACCTTTTCATAAGAATTGGATAATTTTATAATCACATTCTTTCTATTCATTCCATATTATATCCCAGAATGATGACCAAAGCTATATAGTTACAAAAGAAATTATAATTTAATTAAAGCACTAAAAATTATAAAGTCGTTTAGTTGATTCTTTGAATAAAAATAATGACCTAGTATCTCTTCTTTGATCTCTCTCTATAATGTCTCTTGTACTGTAAGTGAAATGTATCTTGATTTTTATCCTTATAATACAAATCTTTGAGAAATTTTATAGGTTTTATAAGGATTGTTTTAAGGTATACAAAACTACTAGTCATTAGTTCAAATACAACCATCAATTTACTACCTGATTAAAGAGAGACTCAAAGTAGTCAGCCTACTTAAATATTATTTTTTCCCTAGGCCAAAGAAAATAGAAGAAACCAGAATTCAATACATGCCAATTCATCGTCGTTTTGTAACTGAAGTAGACTGGAATTCTTAGAAGCACAGAAATCTTTGCTTTCTTCCCAAGTTTTCATTTCATTAGAAATAAAATAACAGTTGCATTGGTACCCAGTCCACATTTTTTGGCAAGAAGAATCTAAAAGAAAAAATAAAACATGAGGACAAAGTCTCTAATGACCTTGGAGATTTAACTTTCTTTAGTGCAATTTACTCATTCAAAAATCATATTATTTTTTTCCCCCACACATATTCTTTGAGAATGTACTATATACACTAGAGTTCAGGGAATGGGTCAGACATGAACTTTTTTTCCTCATGGAGATTATATTCTAGAGATAGAGTCAAAATTATATAATTGTCAATAATTTATTAATTATATTTAATGCTAAATTGGTTATGTATACACACAAAAAATCAGTATGTTCAACATTATGTAGCAGAGTATAGGATAAGGTGGCAGCTAGAAGAACCATTTCTGAGCAACTGAGCCAAAGTTGACTTCTACTGTGTGAATGACAATAAGCACGATGAAAGAGATATTTAAATAGAGAAAAGCATTTTTGTATATTTTCTGAGTTGGAAAGGAATGTAGTACATTAGGAGAATTCTGATTTATGTTTTGGATATTTTATTTTCAAAATGAAGATAAAATGATTACTATAATATCCAATTACACATTTTAGCAGTGATAGTGTCTTAAACATTTATTATCCTCAATGATAAGAGAAATGACATATGGTAGGTAGTCAAATCTTTGCCAAATTAATGGTCTAGAGTTATAGACTCGAATGATGCTTATCAGGATCTGGGGTGGGGTGAATGGAGAGATGTTGGTCAAAGGGTACACTCTTCCAGTAGAAGATGAATAAGTTCCGAGGATCTACTGCAGAGTATTGTGATTATAGTTAACAATATTATATACTTGCCAGTTGCTAAAAGTGTAAATCTTAACTGATCTCACGACAAAAAAAAAAAAAAAGAAGTATATATGGGACATGATCGAGGTATTAGCTAAAGCTATGGCAGTAATCTCATTGCAATATACGTGTATTGAATCGACATACTTTACATATCAAACTAACACAGTATTTAAGTCAATTAAACCTCAAAAGTGCAGGAAAAAAAACACTAAGAAAAGAAAATATAAATATAGTGCTATTTGGAAAAAGATGCATAAAATTGGACTTCGAGCTGGCTTATATAGTGTAAGTTTAGAACTGCAGAAATCTCTGCACTATATTCTGAGTCATAAAATAAATAGAAGCGAAATTAAAGAGATATGAAAGTATGAATTATGAGCAATCACAAGCAGGTAATCAGGATTAGCTGTAATATTTACTATAATTTATAATTTGCTACTTAATCATGAGCATACATACAGGAACATTATGTTCTTTCAGGCTAATATTTATCTTATGACGTAAATACATGAGGAGAACATTCAATGTAATTTAATAATTCATGCATCAGGGAAAAATGAAATGAGACTACCCTACATTTAGTATGTAAAGTCGTATTACTTTATGTATCATTCCATCTTGCTTCTGTGTGAAGGAAACCAGAAACATTCCATTTCATCTTCCACTGACACTAAGGTTTTCCAAAGCATGAAACCTACCTTTCTGGGGTTCTAAGGTGGGTCCTGGAGATGGTGTTGGCTGAATACTTGGTTTAGTAAATACTATAAGAAACGATTAGAAATTTACTTAATTAGATACAGGTTTATCAAATAACAAAATATTTGTAAATCTTCAAATGAAGCCTTTTATGTTAAACGATTTCATCACTGTTTTGCTCTTTATATAGGCTTGACTAGAAACACTTACAATTTTTCCACAACATTCCCAAGGTAGCCATCAACACAAGACACATTACTCCTAAGATGCCAGAAATCAATCTCCACGGGATGGTCTGAAAACCTGTAGAGAAGGAGAGGTCGGGGAATGAATTAAACAACAAACACTAGAGCTGAACTTTTTAAAAGCAGAAATGATTGAGAGAGAATCCAAAATTTCTTCGCTTTGACAATTCAATCATCTTCCCAATGTAACATTAGAAAATGCAGCTGCTCCATTCAGAACTCCACCAAATACCAAAATTCTTATGAGATATACAGAGACTTGTATGATTCCCAGCAGGCAGATGATAAAATTTAGAATCCATCGATAATGTTATTTTGTCCAAGTATCAAAGCTAGTAAACACCCAAGTCAGAAATCAAATGAAAGTTTGTCTAGGCCTTCCGTCTTTGTTCAATATATTCTATCATTGTCACAATAATACCACTTGGGAGCATGCTCTCCTGCTAATCTCAATGCATTCATTGCTCTGAGAAAGGTCAAGAATCCATGACATTGTAGAGGTTTCACAGGGAAGAGAAGACATAGGAGCAATTGGACCTGGTGTGATGAGTCGGTCCCCAACCGTCTGGGTAATGGTTTGGGGTGCTGAGTTCATTTCACCATACTCTGAATTATAACACATAAGCAACCATATTTTACAAGAATATTACAATAACTTAAACCCCAAATTACTGGTTTGTAGGTATTTTCTCCAGAACAATTTTGCATTAGCAGATTCTGCATTAACCTTAGCATACTCCCAAAGAGTGTTGTCATTAGCAACAGTCCAATGTGTCAAACTGTTAATCTGTATATGTTTGGATGTTGCAACACAAGTAGTAAATTTTTAAGTAGTATTTTTAAATATTGTGTTTTAAATATTTGGCATTCTCTAAATACTCTATAGTGGAATTTGGTTGTTCATAATTTAACCTGGTAAATTCAGTTCCCATTCATAATTTGGAGATTTCTCTTTTAGAAGCCATTCTTTAAACCTGTTGGAGACGCTTCACAAGACTATTTCAAAGTTACCGAATGAAGAATCAGAAAAATCAAATGAAGTGGAAAGTACCGATCCATTAAAAACTAAAAAAATGCCTTCGCCCCTTTTTTTTCTTAAAGCACTTCCCTGAAATATCCATATCTAGGAGATTCCTTTTCTGGTTATTTCTATTTTTATTTCATGACCGGGACCTCACATACCTGCCATGAGAAATGGTGTTCCCACGTCGACGCAGATAAGGCACACTGTATGCTTTTTCCAGGAGGACGTTGTTAAGTCACAGAAGTGAGCAGGAAGCTAGAAATCCGAGCATTGCATGCGAGGAACTTTAACAGAAAAAGGAAAAGAAAAAATAGGTATTTAAATGATGTTCTTGAATCACCTATTGGTGAGAGACGGATGTATAGTATGAAAGAGAAGCAGTAAAATCACTAGCTTTTAAAATGTTCCTGGAACCACAATACAGGAAATCCTCACTTGTGTAATTGTATTTGTGTAATGTGAACACTTTGACTATCATAAAAGGAGGTGAAAGGGTTTTTTTTAATGTTCGAACATCAACACCTTTGAAAATTATTGGAACACAAGAAAAATGATATGTAAACCAAACTAAATTTATTTGGTATAATAAAATTTCACACAGACTTTTTCTCTTTTTATAATCAGAAAAATTTATAATTTACCTTATTTAAACACAGATGACAGCACTTGGCATATATTAGCTTGTTTATTTCTGAAATGGCTTAATAATGAAAATACATAAATATACTCATTCTACTGATGAGAAAACTAAAGCAGAGCCGAATATTTGAACAAGGTCACTATTATTGAAACCCCAGTGGTCTTTCTCCAGAGCACACATGCAATATAGTTCAAATCAAGCCTATCTCTCTGTGTGTCTGTGTTTTCTTAATTTCGATTTTTCAGAACAGATTGGTTGGTATTTCCACCTCTCACTCTGTGCTTTCGATGGCTGCCTCGTTAACTCATGTGTGGAAGGGAAGGTTCAAAAAGTAGAACCACGGTGACTTCCCATTATTGCTCCATGTACACACACACACACCACACACACACACACACGCACACACATGCACACACACACATACACCTCTGCTCAACAACTACTGTTGGTGGTCTAAGCCCACACTATAGTGCCTCATTACTATTCCATGTACACACACATACATGTCTGAGCTCTAGGACTACCTAGGTGGTCTAACCCACACTGCAGTGAGCCTTAAAAGCTTCCAACATTGTATTCTCCAACGTTCTTTCCTTTCAAGTCCTTTGAACGTGACTGTGGACACTTATTATCCTTATTTTTTATGACTATATTAATTATTATATTTTTACTGTATTATCTCACTCATATAATATATTGATTTACACATTTTGTCCCCAGGAGACAAATCTTACTAGTGGGAAATTGAAATGTAGGATGCATAGGCAGAATAAAAACCTTGACAGTAGGAACGCTGACCTATGATTATGTATCTGGAACTGCAATTCACCATTCATCAACAGATAAAGCACACGCCTAAATCAGTTTTCTGTTGTTTATGTTATTTATTTTTAAGCATTATAACATTACCATTGATGGACCTTTTTGTAAAATACTGATTTTTAACTAAAAATAAACTACAAGTTCTGTAATTTCTTTTTGTTTCTATGGAGTTAAAATTTTGCATGTTTTTAATTTGTATGGTGTGCATAGAGCTGTTTTCACTGAACCATCAAAATTAATAAAGTTTAAATTCTTACCAGAGAATGTAAACACAGAAATTTATTAATCTAGGCTTCATGCAAATTCTTGTTGAGGGAGGTGATGTAAAAATGATCTTTTGCCCACTTAAATCTATTCATTCGTTTTAATGTTGGATAAAGTTGAAATAACAAAAATTGCCTATTTTTTTTCATTTTCTTGCCAGTGTAAAATCATCTTAGAGAAATAAAAGTTTCAGATTTTGCTTCCATCCTTAGTTTTAAAAAGGTACTATTTTGTGACAGAATATATAGTATGGGTTACTATATTTCTAACACTGAGAGGACCACATTCATTTGGAGGTGATTCCAGATTTTCAGAACCATATTTGATGAGACTGAAATGAACCATTGTCTTTTTTTTTACCTTAGTTTACTGACAGAGAAATAAAATTTGTGAAAACTGTGTTCAATTCAAGACTTCTAGGCTCAAGTCGCAAATAAGATAACTGAACACACAAAAGTACGTGCTCACACATAGACATATCTACATAAAATATATATAATGTATGTATATATGTGTGTATGTGTATCTATATGTATGTGTGTGTGTGTGTGTGTGTGTGTGTGTGTGTATATACTCCTTTCTTTAATTCTTCCTGAACTACCAACCCTAGTTGACTGGATTCCTTCTTGTACATAAGCAATTGAGACGTTCTTGTGCCAGGCTCTCTGCGATTTACCTCCACGTGGAGCAGAGTTTGTCATCGCCCCACTCCAATCTCTCAGGATAATCGCTGACCTCTATCCAATCACTGTCTACGGCTCTGTATTTGCAGACTTTTTTCTCCTAAAACTGCCGAGGCCTTGCTGCTCTCACACAGGGCACCCCAGATGTGCTCAGAAATTCTCTCCTGCATGGGCTTCAATGAGTCTCAGGATTTGGCTACTCCAGCAACCTCTGTCCTGACGTCAGGCAATTCAGCACATTGGGGCTTGTCCCGTATACCAAAATCCCTGAACAGCGTTAGCCCCAGTCTCCTCTTCTAGTAGCTACAACCAGAGGACAGCCTTTATTATGCTCTGCTTTCTCTTTCCTGTGTTCACACTGTTTCCAATGTTTATTCCATGCACATCACAACAAACTTTGCACTCAAAAATCTTTCTCAGGGTCTGCTGCAGAGAAAACCCAGACTGAAATTCCACTGAAATGTTCAGATTCCCTTATGTCTTGTTTTTGGAAAGTTAGGTATCCTTCCAGGAGATGCATCTCTCTCTGCAGGATCTCCACTCCCCTGGTGGCCACTGCAGGTGATCACACTTTTTCTCCCCTCCTTGTAATTTACTATTGCCCCTTGTTCAAAGCAAGTGATCACTTCAATAAGTAGAAGATCATTCAAGCAAAGAGCTCGAGGAAAAAGTTAATGTCCACTTAAAATATGAACAGCAAAGTATTTTCTCTGTCTAGAAATTTCTAACTAAAATGTTGCAAAATATTATGATAGTATACATTGCAATAGCACCAATTAGAAATTGATTTTGATCCCATTGCTTTGAAAATGCATGCATCCCTGAGTGGAAAGAAAATTGCTAGCATGAGCCTGCAAATTATTCTTCTTTTAAGGAAGAAGGGAAAAAAGTATTCTGACTTGAAAAAGTCTCCTGTAATAATGCTGTTGACAAACAAACACTAGCAGATTTTGCTGCTCAAAATTCTATCTATAGAATGTTTTGGACAGGATATAGTAGAATGTCTAATATTTACCAACAAAATGAAAGTAAAGATAGGACTGGAATCGATGGCTTTATGGAGCATGGCTTCCTGGAGAATATCACATAAAGCCATCTGAGTGCAAAATGGTGATGTATCACGACCAAAGCATCTTTTTTGTGCGTATGTGATGCAGTGACAAACTTCATTTACAGATCTCATATATTAATCCATTAGTCTGGACCACAGTGTGTCCTAAAATGGAAAGAAAGGACCTCAGAGCTGCATTGCAGAGCTGGACATGTCTTATTTTGTCTGTACCTTACAATTATTGTATCATTGAAATTATTAGTAAAGTTCGATACTGAGTAAAATCTCTATTGCAGGGCTGGGTATGTCTTATTTTGTCTGTACCTTACAATTATTGTATCATTGAAATTATTAGTAAAGTTCGATACTGAGTAAAATCTCTGATACTGCTTGTGAACCTGACTTAACGATCTAATTCTTTTTGTGACCTTCGTGAGGAATTGATAAGTTTTACCCAAGTAAGTCATGAGAAATATGTATATATATAATCAAACACCTCCTGCCTCTCATCCTCACTTACAGCAGTTATCATACCCCTATCATAAACTTTGGAACTTCTGTTGTACAGGAACATTTCTGCATCTCTATTCCTAGAGCCTACTTTTCCTTCTAAAAATAGTAAAAGCTTTGTTGCCCTGACACAATGAATCTCCAGATTTGAAATATGAATATTCGAGCTTTTTTTGCCACTTTAATATAAAGGAGCTCTTTGGGAACGCATGTTTGAAAGAAAAGGAAATGCATGAAAATGTGTACGCCAACCCTCAGACTATGACAGACTCCGCTGACATGGAAGAAAGCCCAATAAACTAATGGTGTAATGCTGGAGGAGTATAAGAGGATAAGAGAGGTCAGAGCGGCCATGTGGAGCCCTACTTATAGGAAGGAATCATCCTGTGAGCAGATAGAATGCATTGGGTGACACTCATGTACGCTATAATCAGCAGGTTCTTTCAGTGATATCTTGAATTGTTCTGGGAAGCGAGTAAGCAACTGAAGACAACTCAGTCTCTATGTGAGAGAGCATCATGCACTTCCTGCTCCCAAGGCATATTCTAGCTCTTCTTCTTGTTATTACCCAGCGACAAGCTCCCTTAGGTAGAGATAGCATCCATCCTGTTTAACAGCATCAGACACCACTGCTTCTTGCAATATCCAATAATCCTTGTACGCCCTCAGGGAAAACATTCAATAATAACAATTACTTAATTAAGAAAAGACTGGAACCCTAATGGTTACGTAGAATATACTATTTCTGAACCTTGGTTTGGTTAGACAAAAGAAGTCCAAGATTCCTTCTCAGCTTGAAAATAATATAACATCTCTCTATACTTCTGCAGATAAAGCTGACAAAAGTAGTAATATCAGAATGAGAATCAGTTGCCTTTTGGGGCCAACCCGTTCAAGGACAAGTAAGAGGAAGAATTGTTAATTTTGAAACGAAGTCCTTCTCTATTATAAATTCTTAAAAGATATGCGTGTATTGTTTTGGAGGAAAAAAAAAAGACAGTTGTTCATAAATAAAAATTAAATCTCCAAGAAGCATAATTTATAACTATTTTAAGCTTCAAATGTTTTTAAATATGCTTTTATTTCATTATTTATTTAGATGTTTAAGCTCTTCCAATAGATTCTTACAAGCTGGTGAACACTGACAAATTGTTTCTCTCACAGATCTATAATCACACATCCCCAGACGGTATAAATACATAGTTGAACTAACATTAAAACACATCGCCATGTTTATCAGTTACATAATAAAGCAAATTATCAAGTATCCCAATATTAAGTTGCACAGCTCAAAAGGCATATAAAATATTAGACGTCTGCTCAATTCATTAGCTGAAAACTACTTTTCTGTTTTGCAAGAGAGATGGGAAGAGAAAGAAAAAAATTACACTTTAAACAAAATAAGTTGGTAAATAACTTCAGATTAAATATGAAAAAATTACAAGAATTTTGTCATTTATGATTAAGAATTATTTTAGCTACAATAACTAAGCATCTCTACCTTTTCAAATATTTACTACATTAAAGAGCATATTCTTCATGTTCTGCACAAGACAAAGGCAACGTTTACTAAAAATACTTAATAGCCGTCTCCCATTTTCTTTCAAACCCTCTTGAAAGAAAGTTGCACCATAATTGCAAACATTAAAATTAATTGTAAGCCTTTTTTGTTTGGAAGCATTAAAGACATATGTTTTTATACAATGTAGATTTTCAAAATGGTGGCTTTGAAATACGGTTTTTCTATTCTGCACCAATTATCACATGACTTAATTTTTTTTTTTTTTAGGTGAGGCAATCCTTGGTTGACCTCATAGATTGCAAGGACCTTGTCAGCTTACAATTCCTTATTTTTTATTTTTTATGCCT